ATCGAATTGACTGGGGAAAAAACTGGGTGCATTAGGCACTGAAGGCAAAAAACTTTATTTGTGGGGGGAAAAAAGGGAAATGGCCGGAATCTTATCAAAATAATTTTAATCTTTCTAATATTCTGTAAAAAAAAGGTAAACTAATATAATATTAGCTTAAAAAAATTTTTTTAAAACAGTAAAAAATGATTACTCCCTCCGGGTTTGATACATGGCATCAGGTTGCCCCCCATGTCATTTTTCCGAGGACCGGTGCGAGTAGTACCACTGGTGGGGGATCAGTGGCTCCTCCCCCCCCTTTACACAATTCCCCTGTGCCTAATCACCCCGGGCCCACCACGGAAATAGGGGCGAACACTCGGCAAGGCGTTATCTTCTGTAGTACTCAGGTGTCCTTATTTTTGTGTTTTTGTTGCTGCACCATTTTTGTTAGGGTTTCATCCACGGCATTAAAAACAAGTTGCAAGAAAACTTGTTGGTTTTACATCAAAAAAAACTACATTAAAATGGGGGTTGGTATATAATGTTTTAAAAATTCTATTTTACACTGTAAACTACTTTTCTTTCCAACCCAATCTGTGGCTATAAGCTGATTAAAATTCTTATAGTTTAATGCAGAGTAGTGGGTTGGTAGACAGAAACCCACCCAGGGAATTACACCGTCCGCCAGTGATGTGAAACAAAAACCTGTAACGGCTGGGTGGGAAATGCTGGTTTCTTTTTCGTCTCATAAACACCTAAAAAACAGGGATATTTTGCTACTCCTACTTACATTTGGGGTCACACTTACAGCACGCACATGATATATATATTACATACTCTGGGTTTTTTCCTTTTCTAAATAGCTCTTGTTCTTTTTTTTTTCTCTTGCCCCATGGGGAAGTGGAAAAGAATTTTTTCCTCCTAACCAGCGTGTGAGAGGCGACTAAAATCCGGGAGAAATGGGTAGAAAAACCCCTTCTCCTGTATACAATTCAAAAAAAAGAAAAGAAGAAAAATTTTAAAAAACGGGGTTTTTAAAATTGCGTGGATGTAGTGCGGATGACAAGAACAGAAAATTGTGATGTTAGAATGAAAAAAATTGGATTCCTGGCCCTAAGCAAACAAAGCTGAAGGGGGGTAGGAGAGTTTCAGGGGGGAAATAAAGGGGATTAAATCTGGAGTATCTGAGAGATTTAGAGAAAAGGGAAGGGGTACAGAAAATTTTAAAATGTCATTAGGAAGGGAAAAAAAAGGAATAGAATGTGAAAATTTCAAGAATTATGTGTTTAAAGAAAAGGTTGGATGCGGAAGTGGGTCTAATAAGCGTGTATCCCCCGGAGAAGAAGGAATGCAGAGGAGAGAGAGAGATTTTGGGGGATGTTAAGTGAATTTTAAGGAGCCTTTGAACCAAGTGAGAGAGTAATTGGGGTGGGGGATTTGAATCTAAAGTAGGAAAAAATTTTTAGAGGGGGTGTGGTAGGTAGTTTGGGGTGCCAGGTGTAAATAATAATGGGAGCCCTTGATTAAAACTTTGTATAAAAAGGGGTTTATTATAGGTTAATACAATTTTAAGAAAAAGAATAAATAAGTATACACGATTGATGTAGGGCAAAATGACAGTAGTTTTTTGGATTGTATTGGTAGAAAAAAGACTTTTAGTAACTTCAGATGACATGTTTAAAAGGGGGCCCCACAGTATACAGATAAATTTTTCTAGTTGTAGCTACACTGAGAGAAAAAGGTAGAGGGATACAAGGGAAAAAGCATCAGGGAAGAGAGAGGTGAAGGTTTAAAAACAAAAGAGGGGGCAGTAGGGTAAGTTTAAACAGCTATTGGAGGATAGATGGGCTAATGAGAGCATAGGAAAGGGGGAAAGGGGTATGGGGTGGGTTTTAAAAATGTATGTTAGAGTGTTCAGCAGAAGTTTGGGGTTACGGGAAAGTGGGTGCGGAAAGGGAGGTTTGGGGGAAATAAAGATGTAAAAGAGTAGTAAGGGAAAAAAGTTAGTATGAGAATTTTTAAAAAGTAGAATAAACAAGGAGGGAAGAGTAATGGAAAAAAAAGAGAGAAGTTAAAAGGGGGGAAGCAATGTAAAAAAGAGGCAAATGGAGAGTGGGTGAGATTTTATAAACAATTTTGTTAAAAATAAGAAAATTTTTGGGTGAGATTAACAAGTTAAGAAACCTAGAGAACAAATGGATTGTCAGTTAAAAATGGGAAGGAAGTTTTTAAAAATTGGAGAGGTAGAGGTTTTGGAAAGAGGGAAGGAAAATTTTGAGGAATTGTTAAATGTTGATGAAGATAGGAAGCGGATTTCTGATAGGGCAAGAGGAAAAACATCTTTGGGGAGTGGGGAAGAGCCGGGTTGTGCGTGGGGGGAAGTTGTGAGGCAGTAGGTAAAATGAAAGGGGGTAAGGCAGCCGGATTGATGGGATAAAGATAGAAAAGTTAAAAGCAGGGGGGATTGTTTTGGAGTGGTTGGTGCAATTATTTTAATAAATGTAGGGGGAGGGTAAAGGTACCTAGGGATTGGCAGGAGAGATAGTTTCCCTTTTATAAAGGCAAAAGGGGATAAAAGAGAGTGCAAAAAAATTTTAGGGGGGTAAGTCTGTTGAGTGTACCTGGGAAAGTTTATGGGAAGTTATAATGAAAGAATTAAAAGTAAACGGGGAATAGGATGCAGATGAAAAAGGGGCTTTTGGAAAAGGGAGGGGGTGGTGGGCCAGGGTTTACAGTGAAACATATAAGTGAACAGTATTTAGATAAGGCTAAAGGGTCTTTGTGGATTTATGGATTTGGGAAAAAGGGGTATACAGGGTGGATAGGGGGGGGGAATGTGGAATGTGCAAGTGTATGGTGTAGGGGGTAGGTTTTCTGAAAACATGAAGAGTTTTTTAAAGGGTAGTGAGGCTCAAGTTAGAGTAAGTAGGAAAAAAGGGAAATTTTTTCCCAGTAAAATAGGGTTAGACAAGGATGTTGATGTCACCGTGGTTGTTTTTTTAAAAAATTTAAGATGGGGTTTTAAAAGAAAATAAATCGAGGGTCTTGGCAAAGGCGTGGAGTTAAAAGATAAAGTCACACACAAAGGGGGAGTTGTCACAGCGCTCTTTGGGGCCCATGCCGTGCTCTTGGGAGATTTGAAGAGAATTGAGAGATTTGGGGAGAATTTGGTAGGGGGTGCAAAAAAAGAAAAATTTAAAAGGGGAAACAGGGAAAAGTAAGGTTTGAGGATAACAAAAAGATTAGGGATGAAAGATTGAATATCAATTGGAAGAGAGTATGGAGGGGTGAACGTATTCAGATATTTGGGGGTGGGCGTGCACGGGTGGGGCTATGAAAAAGGGGTGAATCTAGAATTTATGAAAGGGGAAAAAAAGTGGTGGTCACTTTGGGGTCTGGGAGAAAAAGAACTTTGTCCTTGAGGGAAAGAGGGGAAAGTATGAGAGTATAGTTTTACCCAAAGCTCTTATATGGGTGTGAAGCGTGGGTGTGAAAGTTGCCGGGAGAACTGGAGGCGTGGGGAGTCATGCTGAGGGCAATGGTGGTGTGAAATAATGCAGGAATTCGTAGTTTGGAAGTTAGGAGGAGGGGCGGTTACCAAAATGTTGTCCAAGGCTGAGGAAGGGGTTTTTGAGGTGGGTTTGGACATGTAGAAGAAGGAGCGAAAAAGAAAAGACTTCAAGAGGTTCAGTCTGAGTGGAAGGAAGGGGGGGTAGGGGCGGCCCGGAAAGGGTTGGAGGAGGGGGTAAAAAGGAGGTTTTTTGTGCGGGGGCTTGGGCTTCCAGCAGGGTGCGTGAGGTTTTTGTGGAGTGAATGGAGACAAAAGGGTTTTTTTAAAACTTGACTGCTGTTGGAGTGTGAGCAAAGTAAAATTATGAAGGGATTCAGGGGAAACCCCGGGAGGCCGGACTTGGTCCTGGAATGGAAGTACAGTGCCTGCACTCTGAAGGGGGGGTTTTAAAGTTGCGTTTAAAAACTGTAGTGTAAAGCACCCCTTTTGGAAGACATTTATGGGTGAAAAGAGGGGAAAGTTTTTCTTTTTCGGCCCCCTCCTTGGTGGGAATCGCCGGGGGATAATAAAATAAAAAAAAAATTTTAATGCGGGAATTGCGCAAATTTTTAATTCGGTATAACCCACCTTACAGAACGTTTTTTTTTTTTATTGATATACAATTCACATCCTAATTTTGTGTTCACTTATTTTTTTTAGAATTTAAGAGTGCCTATCACTATTCAAAATGCAGTGTAAATATATAAGGAATTGTAAGTATTTTGCAGTATAATTTATCTTTAATACAGTTTTTTCACTTGGTTTTTGAAACTTGACATCTTCAAAGATAACAAAAATGTGCAAGGTGTGATCAAAACATTAAGAGTATAAATATACAGTTTCATATTGTATAAACAAAACATGTGAGGCATCATTGAATTCAAGTCTGGGGTTCCCCTGACATTTTTATAAGTTTTTTTTAACACGTCGGCCATTCCCCCAAGGTAGGGTAACCCAACAAAAAGCACAGTTTTTTCCCCTCACCATCTGTTGCGTCTTGCCCAAAGGGATCCAACATTAAGCCCCAAAAGCCCTCCAAATGCAATATCCCCCCCCCCTCTAGATGAGGCGCACGTTTTCCCATCTCCAAAAAAAATCCAGTTAACCCGTTTCTTTTGAATCCCCTTTATAAATGTTATCTAACTCACACTCAAACAGCAGATCAATTAAAAAACCCCTTGCTTCCACTCACTAACATTATCCTTCAACAAAACTTCCCTTTTCCCCCCCCCTCCAAACCTTTTCCCGGGTAAAACCCTAGCCATCATTCCTTCCCCTGCAGATTTATACACCCCCAATCTCCTGTTTTGTCCTTCCTCTCGAATGTCCCGACCCCCAGTAACCCTTCCACGGCCCTCTGGACAATATTTTTGTAACCCACACCTTCTCTCTCCCAACTATGAATTTCTGTATAAAATTCCACCACACTTGCTCTCAAACTCCTGCTAACATTTAAAATCCTGTTCACACCTATAAAAAAACTTCTGCTGCCCCGTTCTGTGGTACATTCCCCCTTTTGCTCCATGGATGCTGTAGTGCATCACCCCCCTTTTCTTTCCGCCATTTCCCTCCTGTCATTTTGATATCCAATCATTTATTACCTAATTTTTTTTGTTACTCATTACCTTGCTCTTTCTTATGTTCCCTTTTAATTTCCTTCTTTTACACACCCTCCAAAATTCATCCACAATTCAACCAGTCATGACAGCCAGGAGGATGATGGAGTGGATAATGAAAACTTTCAAAATGGTGATACTTTTCAAATTGCTTGTGTTCTTTCACTTGGAATATGGCTCAGTGTTGATGGCCCCATTCAAGGCAGCAGAAATATCAGACCTGGAACAGATGTAGAGATCGTTTACAGCCCACATAGAGCCGATAACGCCTTAAAGTCTTAAATATGTACTCACTGAGTGGAGGAGAGAGATATACATGATGATATATAATACTTAATAAGTACTTGAAGGCCTTGTTCCAAGTCTGCACACTACCATAGCAACATACTGGAGTGAGAAATATGGGAGCAGGTGCAAAATAAACCCAGTGAGAAGCAGGGATGCAGTGGGCACAATAAGGGGACGCTGTATCAGCGTCCGTGGCCCCAGACTATATATCATCTTACCAGAAGATATCGGAAACACTGCTGGGACAAGTGTGGAAATCTTCAGGAGGAAAATGGACAAGTATCTTCACCAGGTGCCAGATCAGCTAGGCTGTGATGGATATGTAGGTCATTGGGCCACCAGCAACAACAACCTGGTTGACCAGACTCTCAGTACTCTTGAAAGGTATATCGAAGGCATCTAAGGTTCTTTCTCACTTGGTTCAAAAAAAAACCCAAACACTTGCTTAACATCTGCCAAAATCAATCTATCTATCTATCTATCTATCTATCTATCTCTATCTCTATCTCTATCTCTATCTCTCTCTCTCTCTCTCTCTCTCTCTCTCTCTCTCTCTCTCTCTCTTTTCTTTTTTTCCTCTCTATTTTTCTCTTTTGCTGTCTTTTTCAGCCTTCTGTGTCTGTCTCCTCTATCTTTCTGTCTCTCTCTCTGTCTCTCTCTCTCTCTCTCTTCTCTCTCTCTCTCTCTCTCTCTCTCTCTCTCTCTCTCTCTCCTCTCTCTCTCTCTCTCTCCTCTCTCTCTCTCTCTCTCTCTCTCTCTCACTCTCTCTCTCTCTCTCTTTCTATCTTTTTATCTTTCTTCTTTTTTTTCTTTTTTTCCTCTCTATTTTTCTCTTTTCCTGTCTTTTTCAGCTTCTGTCTCTGTCTCTCTCTGTCTCTGTCTCTCTCTGTCTCTGTCTCTCTCTGTCTCTGTCTCTCTCTGTCTCTGTCTCTCTCTCTGTCTCTCTCTCTCTCTCTGTCTCTCTCTCTCTCTGTCTCTCTCTCTCTCTGTCCTCTCTCCTCTCTGTCCTCTCCTCTCCTCTCTGTCTCTCTCTCTCTCTGTCTCTCTCTCTCTTCTCTCCTCTCTCTTCTCTCTCTCTCCTCTCTCTCTCTCTCTCTCTCTTTTCTCTCTCTCTCTCCTCTCTCTCCTCTCTCTCTCTCTCTCTCTCTCTTTCTATCTCTTTCTTTCTATCTCTGTCTCTCTATCTATCTCTATCTCTCTTTTTTTTTTTACACAGGGTTTGACAAGGTTAAGGATCCCTAGCTTTATTGACAAGCTGTTTACAGGTTAAGGATTCCTAACTTTATTGGCAAGCTAAGAGCTGTTACCTACATCAGCTCATTTGAAAGCATTTTCATTGTTATGAGACATACAAGTAGGGAACAGGATGAAGTTGGAGCCATCTGTGGGCCGGCATTTTCATGTGATCAACTGACTTTATCTCGTTGACATCATTATGCTGTACGAATGTGTTCCATACTCAAGTCATCCTGGGTATGTATGATCTCAGATGGAGTGATGTTCTGGAGAAGGGTACAGCCAGAGTGAAGTTGCTGCTTTCTGCCCGTCTTGTGGCATAAAAGCTTGTTTCACACTGTCCTCGAAGTGGATCCAAGTGTGGTACTTAGACAATATTGGCCTTGTACATAACAGTAAGGCCACCCACATCCCTCCTGTGTTGAAGGCTCTGCTGAAATGACAGATCTATCCAGGATGGGTCCAGGTGAGAGATGAGACGTCTTGCTCTGTTCTCTACTCTGTCAAGTAGTTGCAGATGAGAGGGGGGGGCAGGCAAACCAAGAAAGTGGAGCATACTCAAGGTGTGAGCATACTTGTGCCTCATACAGAATCTTGCAACCCCTACTGTCAAGCAGATGCGAGATACGGCGAAGTGCTGTAAGCTTCCTGGTTGCCTTGTTTGCAAGATTTACAACATGGTTCTTCATGGTTAGTTTGGAGTCAAATTTCACCCCAAGGATATCAACTTCTCCAGGTGCCAACACCCTCCCATTCATCCTTACTACTGCACCAGCATTACCATCATGGTGCCTAGAGACGATCATCATTTGCGTTTTCTCAGGTGCAAATGTTACTTGCCATCTATTTCCCCAAGCTGATATAGCTCTCAGCTGGTGATTGATGTAGCTTAGAGCAGCTGGCATTTCTTCTCTTGGATAAGTGAATGTCAGTGTACAGTCATCTGCATATGCATGTGATTCTGGGATGAGATGAAGAAGGTTGTTGAAGTAGACATTCCATAACAATGGTCCCAGTACGCTTCCTTGTGGAACACTTGCCCCAATAGGATGTCTTGCTGATTCCGTTCCATTGAGAACTACACTTAGAGATCTACCATGAAGGTAATCACTGAGGAGACATAACGTAGAGCCTTGAAGTTTTGCTAAGAGGCCCTGGTGCCACACCCGGTCGAAAGCCCCAGCAATGTCCAGTGCTACCACACAGCTGACTTTGGATTCATCCAGTGACTGGTGCCACTTAGTGGAGAGGTTTAACAACAGATCAGCAGCAGAGTAACCTTTCCTGAAGCCATATTGACGATCACAAAGTAGTGAGTGGTAGTCAAAAAACTGTCATTTGTCTTGAGATTATTGTCTCAAGGATCTTACCAGTGATTGACAGGAGTGACACTGGTCTGTAGTTGCTGATTTCTGCTCTGCTTTTCTTTTTGTGAACAGGGACTACATTTGCCTCTTTCCATAGAGAGGGCCATTTACACTGTACTAGGCAGTGCTGAAAGATGCGAGTTAGAGGTGCTGCTAGCTGGTCTGCATATCTTCTCAGCAATCTTGGGCTCAACTTGACTGGGCCCACAGCCTTTTCTTGGTTAAGTGATTTAAGAAGGAAATGCACCTCCTCCTGCCATATTGTCACCACTGACAGTTTTGACACAGTTCTTGCAGCTAGCCATTGGGGGTCTCTTGCTGGATCAGGAACTTGCATTTTGGTAGCAGTGTTCAGCAAAGAGGTCCGCCTTCTTTTGACTACTGTAGAGGTGGTCCCATCCTGTCGATTTAGAGGTGGAATGAGTTCATCAGGCAGATAACCTTGTCTGTCCTTGACCAGGGACCACCAGGTTTTGGAGCCTACCCTACCTGATGCTAGCTTTCTTTTAGTGTCCACCTCCCATTTAGCAATGGTCCACTTTTGAACGTCACCCATATGCCTACAGGCTTGCCTGTGCAAGTTCCTGTTATAGGTGGTAGGATGTCTCTTATACCTTCGCCATGCTTTGTACTTAGCAGTAGCAGCCTCTCTACAACGAAAGCCAAAACCAAGGCTGATCTGTAGGCTTTGTCACATATTGCCGGTGAGGAATGTGTTCTTGTTGTAGATTAAGGATGTGTCCAGTGAAGGCTTTCACTTGGTTGTCAACATCCCCTTGGAGAAGAGCATTCCAATCGGTGGTGGCAAGCTCAGTGCAAAGGGCTGGCCAATTACCTCTTTCCAATAGCCAGGTTGTGCGTGTGGACTCCTCACCTCGTTCTGTTGGGATCTTAAGTGTCGTAAAAACAGCCTTGTGGTCAGACGATCCAATGTAACCAAGGGGTTGACAAGTGACTATGCCTTCTGCCAGATCACTCACTACTGGGTCAAGGGAGGAGCAGATTCATAAACACTTAATATAACGTACTTTTCACATGCCACCCTTATTTTAATCCACATAATCCTTGAATTTCTGATCATTCAACACAGTTGCTACTCCTCCTCTAGCTCTAGTTCTCTCAGATACACCTAACCTAATCCATTTTATATCTCCCCACTGAAATTCTCCTACCTCGTTAAGCGGATTTTTAAATGTTAAATACAGTAGAATGTGCATTGAAAAAATTTAGATATCTTTGTATTAGCCTGAAGGTAAGCTTTTATTGTGGCCTTCCATTTCATCATGCCCAGGAATTAACTTTAGTAGTGGTAAAATTCAGTAATTTATCACTGCTGTACTGTGCTAAGCTATATAATGAAAATAAAGTATTATACTGTAATACATTCACTGGAAATAAACATGTTTAGTGCACCATTTCCTGTAAGGGGATTTATCATCCATTTCTAATACCTTTGCAGTAATCTATGAGGGACTTTTAGGATTTATAAGGAACTAGAAATTTATGAAGTATTTGGTTTGGTGGAATTATAGTTTATTGTTGATGATGGATTATTATGTCCATCAGATATATCCTGGAGAACAGACGTCGAGCAGCTACAGCAGTAATCCTGGCACTCCAGTATCTGCCACCTCCCCGCCCCCCCTCACCTCTGGGGCAACTAGTGGGGCCCCCCAACAGTGGCCACAGCCTCATACACCCACCTCACCTCACTATGACCGTTCCCTCCCCATGGTAAGCCTCCACACTTAATTTATGTTTTGGCAACAGTTAAAGAAAATGGAGTCAGCTGATCTCATGCACTTTAAAAAAAATCACAAACCGAATGTGTAAGGACCACATTTACACCCCTTGATAAGTGTGTCTGGTAATAGCATCCTATGACACCAGCACTCGGCTTGCCAGCATCTCCACTGTTGACTTTTTTTTTTTTTATCTTGCATGACTGTAGTCTTCTTAGCTCTTAAGCATAAACCTGTTCTTCAGGTATTTGGTGCGTGGCATTGAAACAATAAGTACTACACGTGTTTCTTGAATTTTGGTTACCTCAGACTTGGAGTGTTGTGCACAGTAGCTGTTATTACAAGTCAGTTTTTTGTGTACCCTGCTAATATTGGCTAGACTTTATTTTTTATATTGTGCCATACAAGTTTTTTTTTTTATGTATTTTGCACAAGACGTAAGAAGACGGAGTAGACGCACCAAATTAGTACGCTGTAAATGTTCACATTGGTATATATCCGTGTTGCTTGAAGGGATTATGAGTGACTCATGCACTGCATCACATTTCCTCTTAGAAGATACAGTATCCTGTTCAAGTTTGTAGAATCTTTGGAATGGGAGAAAGTAGCACATTACACAAAAGTTGTAGTTTTGTCCAATATCTTAATTTTTCATCTTTCTATGACAACAATGCATGTTGTCTTGTCTACTGACATAGCATGAATAATTTTGATCAGTATATAAAGTCTGCACCACATTTTGCATGGACTAGTTCACTTTTTTCACCTAAGTTTGCATGGTTATTATACATTTTTCTTCTTTTCTTCTTTGTTGCACTGTAGCCACGTATGGCAGAGGAGAACTTAGAGTCAGCAATCGACTATCTTCGAGATATTGAGGTAAAGATGCACCCTCACTTCTGCTTTCATTTGTGAGAGATTGTAATGTAAGCAGGAATGGTTATTCTTATTCTGAGTTTTGTTTCATGTTACATATATAGATTCTCTTCAACAAAACTGAATTTCTTCACGTGTTTTATTATTAAAAATGCCCTCACTTTGAAGCTAGATAAATAAAACTGAATTTTGTTTTTTGACTTGATCCTCCTTAGCACAGATTATTGCACAAAAACCAAGTAGTACGTTGGAAAGAATTAATATGAAATTTGTAATGGCAAATGTTCTTTCTATGTTAAGAGTTAATAATTGATTAATGAATTTAAATAAATACCAGTACCTGATTGTTTTTCAACAGCAGTGATTGCAGTTCTAAAGGTGACTGACACAACATATATGAGGAGGATCTCAGAACATGAATCAAAATATATTGTTGCATTTCTTATCTAGTTTGAAAGTACAGGTTTTAAAAGTGTGATGATACGCTTATAGAGTACAGTACATTATTTTAATATTCAGTCCAGTGTATTTTCTTAGAACATATCTTGAAGAGATAATGTATTGGTTCCTGCTTGTTTTACAATACAGTACTGTGTGTTGTCTTTAAGAAGATTCCTGTTTCTGATGTACTGTATCACCATTCAAGGCTTCTTCATTGCATTTACAAATTTACTTTTATAACTTTCCAAGAATTTTATTATTTATTTATATAATTTTATAGAATGACTACCTACTTTTATTCTTTATTCTAAGCCCTAGTTAAGTGAAATTAAACTTTTTTATGGAAGTTTTATTTTTTGTTTAATTATGGATGTTTCTGTAAAATCACGTTCTTATCACAGGGATCGAGGATAGATGAAAGATTGGAAGATGCAGTCAATGTCCTACAGCGTCATGCAGAGACTACGGGAGGCATAACGGGTGCTGGTGCACACTTGGGACCCTCGTCACATGGGGGCTCTCTACCACCTTACCCTTCTGCACTTGATTCACATTTGGGTGCTCCACCTAATTCCACGTTTACTACCTTGGGATCCCATTCACAAGATCTGAAAGGTCTTGGAGTACCAGGTAGGATGGTTATTCCTCATGCTTATGATAAGAGTAAGGAAGTCCAGTTTTTTCCTAACGTCCACCTTTATGTTGTTTGTTATTTTTGGTAGATACTAAACTACCATATTAAATTATTAAATGTCTTAGAAGTCCTATAACCATGACTCAAGTCCTTTCATATATGCATGACTGATAATATTGCCATCGAAACAAAACTAGAGACGTGCAAAGCCATTAAGTTTTAGTACAAACATTTTATATAAGAAACATATTTTGACATGTTCATAATATACCAGGGCAGAAATTTGTCGTTAAAATATTGTTAGAGCCTAATACATTATAATCCCACTGAACCTTACTGATGGGTACCAGGACCTTTTTTGAATCTATCATTTTGTTTAGTATTCTGGTAAACAGAAAGTACATAAGGTTTATGGTATACAGTTTAACCCAACCTTTGTTGAGGTTAGGTTCCTAGAGGTCCTGCAAATTCAAAATCTGTGAATAACATATATCATATATATATATATGACAGAAGCACAAACCCCTGAATTAAAAAAAAAAAAAATCTATGTTCATTCCCTGTTTACAGTACTATTCAGATTTGACTTTAATATGATAAGGTGTGCTGAGATTTATCCTCAGAGTGCATCTCTGATTTTAACATAGATGTCTGTAGGGAAAAATGCAGTTCACTTAGTGCAAACACTGCTTAACAGCCCCTTTTCTCTGTAACGTATCTTGGCTGCTAATAAGGTGATTACCATATATTGCTGATGCCAATTTTTATTTTTTTTTATATTATTGACCATTTCTAGGTCCAAATCCCTGATCTGAAACTTGTTCTCAGGGTCCAAAAATTTTCCACAAAAAAAAAAAAAAAATTATTCTCAAGTAATGATAAAAAATCTTTTTCCGAAGATACTGAAACTAAAAGTACAAAATTTGATGGAAAACTTGCAGAATTACGCTTCTGCAAAGTTAGCGATCTTGGCAATATTTATGCACCAGCAATTTCATCCACTTTGAATCCTATTTTAAACCAATTCCATCACTCCAGTTGACCCGACTCTTAGCTATTTGCTAGTATGCCTTCCATTCTATCGAATGAGCACAACAGACTGCCCATCTAACTACAGTGGACCCCCGCATAACGATTACCTCCGAATGCGACCAATTATGTAAGTGTATTTATGTAAGTGCGTTTGTACGTGTATGTTTGGGGGTCTGAAATGGACTAATCTACTTCACAATATTTCTTATGGGAACAAATTCGGTCAGTAATGGCACCTGAACATACTTCTGGAGTGAAAAAATATCGTTAACCGGGGGTCCACTGTATATCAGTTACCCAATATAGTGATCAGAAATTGGTAATTTGGCCAATTTCATACAAAATTAAAAAATTGCCAATTTAAAGATGGGGTATAGAATAAGCTGTGTAGATATTCCTGGCACTAAAACATTTCCTCTGTTCATTAGTTATGTTCCCTGGCCATTTTGAAATTTTATTCACACAAAAAAATAGAAGATTTACTGTTATGCAGACTACTGCATTATAGTAACAATTGTATATATAATGTCAGCACATTTATGAACATGTATTTGATTGATCAGTTGGGCACGTATTGGATGAGCGAAGTGAATAGTGTCCTGGAATATTGACAAAAATTGGATATTTTCGCTATTTTGAGTTCAATTTCAAGCTACTTCCAGTCCAGAAACCACTCAAAATCATCTCTGTTTCTGTAATATTTGTTCAATTCTGTTGAATGAAACCAAGAAACTGAGAATAGAACCATAAAAACCATCCAAAAATACACCTCAAAGTTCCTGGTGTAAGCCATACACACAGTCACAATTTTCTTCTTCCGATCATGCACTGCTTAGACCCTTAGACCCATTATCTCATCGCATAAACCCATTCTCTCATATCCAGGCCAAAATTTACCACTCGCCTATCTGAGTGAGCTGAGCTCGTCACTTTTACAGCATGAACTGCAAAAGGGTTAATGCTCAGAGATGATCTTGCATTAGCCATCCCTAAACCAAACATAGGCCTTTGATTTGTGCACTAGTGATATCAATAAAACACATTTGCAAATTATAGTACGTGTATATACGGGCAATTGGCACTCCTGTTATATTGTTGAGAAAGTGTTTTGCTGATAAAGGAACAGACCCAGTAGAATTGATGCAGTATAATGTTGTGTTTCAGGCTTAGGTGAAAGTGTTAAAGAAAAATTAGAAGTTAAAACAGAAGATTTATCCAGCTCACACCTACCAACAACCACAGTAGCGGGAACTATGCCAGCAGGAGCGAAGGGTGGCAAGCGCTCTCGCAGGTAGTGGTATTTTTATTTGTGCGTGTTGAGTTGGGTGCAGTTAGAGGCCATTATTCTAGAGCACCATAATTTTTTGTTTTCACTAATGAACTTCACAAGTTCTGTATCTTTTAAGCAAATGTTATTTGGTGTTCTTGCAGATTTAGGCCTTCATTGTGATAGTCCAACTCACATGCTTTTTGACTTGTGTCACACCAGTGTTTGAGAAGTGCCGGGCCTTTGCAAAGATGGGTGTGTTTTCCACCATTAACGTCGTATTTTGCAAGAGTAAATTTAGCATATAATTTATAAAACTATTATATATAAAGGTCATGGAGTATTTTTATGAGATAAACCATAATATTTTGTTACCAGCAATGAAATAGTTTGCTCTTTTAGTTTATCCCAGTCCTGCTTGCCTGACCCTTCAAAGCAGCTTGGCCCACCTCTGCTCAGACTTCTGGCTTCGGCTCAGCAGTGAGTCAAGTCTTCTGGTTTAGTATGAAAGTACCCATGATAAAGATAAACATAAATTAGCGAATTATGATCCTGGATGGTGGTGACGGGAGCAAGTAAATTCTGTATTCTTACAACTGGAAAAAACCTAATGTAAGATCACCACCAGTTTTGCAGTTGCTAAGTTAAATAAAACATAAGATGGTTTTCCACTGTCATTACTTGTTTCTTTCAAGATTTTTACCTGAAAGAGACTTTAGTAACTTGTGTTGTTGAATTTAAGGTATTTTTCTCAGTTCAAGTTTGAAATTTAAATTTTTTTTGACTCTTAAATAATGAGGATACTAATTGTGATATTGTTAACATTTTTAAAACTTGAAAATACTTGAGGCAATTTATACTGACGCTTCCTAGTTCTGGTTCCAGCACGGAGGATGAAGAATGTACAGACCCTGAGACTAAAGCACTAAGGGAGAAAGAACGACGCCAAGCTAACAATGCAAGAGAAAGGTAAGCCATTAGATTATTGTTCTTTATTATAGAGAGTGATTTAGAATTTAGTTTTTTTCTGTGTGTGAGTGTTTATGTATGTATGTATTTTTATTTTAACTAAATGGCTTTTTCTTACCATTGCTCATTCAGTTGCTGTTTTTCCAAAAGTGTGCTGACATCACAGTTAGATTACTCTCCAACTGCAGCATCCCCAGCTCCCCTTCAGATGGCAGGCAATGCCCTTTCTACCTTCAGGACTCGAGTCTGACTAACTGGTTTTTCTGAATCCCTTCATAAAAGTTACCTTGCTTGCACTCCAACACATACATACATATATATAATAAAGTGTGAGCAAGAAAACTTTTACGAAGGGATTCAGGGAAACCAGTTAGCCAGGTTTGAGCCCTGGAAGTAGGATAGGGAGTGCCTGCACTCTGAAGGAGGGTTGGGAGAATGGTTCAGTCGGAGGGTAATCTGATTGTAATGTTAGCGTATTTCTAGAAAGACGGTGATTAAATGAACATACATACATGCATACGTACATATATTCACACATGTATACATACATACATACAATAATGCTGATAAAACACAGTTGAACTATATTGTTTTGAACAATCTTTGTAAAAAAAAAGTTATGCCTTTGGCTTAGTGTCTGTATGCTGTAAAGTAACATTTCCACATTAAATTTCTATATTTATTAGCAATATGTATACAATGGATATAAAGTATAAATAAAACTCTTTGTATTACAGTGTAATTCTTAAGTTCAGAATAATATAAGTCTACTGTGTATAATGTTGGACGGATAAAACAAGAACATGTATTTAGCTGAAAAAATATTTAATGAAAAATGTGTTTAATCCTCTTTTTTTTTTTTTTTCTCTTGTAACACTTACCTATCTTCCCTGAGTGAGTTTCCACAGCCCATTAAAGGTTAATGATGATGATGTTGCTTACATATTTGGAAAGAATACAGTTCATTCTCTCTAAAGTATAATAACCTCTGGGTTTTATGGCTAGTTATATAAGAGTATCTGTTGACCAGATTTTGTAGTGTGAAGTTGTGTTAACAATTAGAACATTAGTTGACAACATATAAGTTCTTGGGGGTCTGCCATGGATACTGCTTCTTCTTATTCATATCACATATTTAATAGGGAGGAGAAGAGATAAGTTGTCAGTATAAATCTATGATGCATGTTGAGAGTCACATCATATTATTAAACTAGGAAAACAATAGGGCCAACATGAACATGAAAGTAATGGTGCTTAGCCTTGGTGATCGATAAAGGACTGTGAACATTAAGGAAATTATGAGAGCTCAAGAAATAGCCAAAAGTATAATCTAGAGACTTGCACTATCAGTTTCTTAAATGTATATTAATTAATAAAATAAATTTATAAAATTCATGCATTGGCCTGATTTGGTAAATCCTCAGCCCTGTCTGTTCATGGACCAGTGGACATGTAGCTGAATGGCATGGCCATCATACATAAACTAATAGGACATAAGCTAAGTAATTTAACTCGTGGAAAACTGATATAAGCCCAAGAATACCAGAAGGCAAAGAAGCCTGGCTTAGGGCCAGGCTGTGGAGTAGGAAAACTCTTGAAACCCTTTAGAGGTAAAAATGGTATGAATGAGGAACTGCTACCTTTAATTTGTTGTAACAGCAAGGCCTTGAGTCCCACTTGGGAAAATATATCTACAGGTGTATTTGATAGATTTGTACCCTACAGAAAAAATAGTTGATGCACATCCTTGCAGCACACCTTACATGTTTAGTGCTAGATTTCATGATTAATACAAAGAAACTTAGAGCCCAGTACAAAGCTGCCAACAAGACCTCCTTGTCAATACATGCAGTTTGCTTAGAAGATTCTGTCAACTAGCAAAATACACAAGCACAGTTGTCAGTGGGATGCAAATAAAAACCAATGCACCCATCAAACCTATAAGCTTCAGTAATTTGCAACGTCACTACATCCTTAGAAATTGGAATTTAAGTTTCGTACTGTATGTGCATCTTAGAGAATCTGGGAAGTAATTCTTGAAATATAGATTACACTACTATAATGACAATGGGTGGACTGACTAGACACTGTAGTCCTACTTGCTTTCCAACATAATGCAGAAAACCTATAACTTGTAAATGGGTTAATATGTCATATTTTTAAAATTAAACACAAAATTGTTTAAATAATTGGCCTGCAGGCATCGTAACTTATTTCTTGTACTCGAAGGATGCCATCCTCGTAATGAAAGGTTATGCTAAACTTTACTGAAAATATTAATTATACCTAGCTATGCATTATTTCATAAGAAATTCACTAACAACTGCCAGCAGCATTTAAGTAATCTAATTAATCATTGTAAGTAGTTTCTACCATTAGCTTCAAGTTGTTAGTGATTTTTTTTTTCAACAAGTCGGCTGTCTCCCACCGAGGCAGGGAGACCCAAAAGGAAAGAAAATCCCCAAAAAGAAAATACTTTCATCATCATTCAACACTTTCACCTCACTCATACATAGTCACTGTCTTTGTAGAGGTGCTCAGATATGACAATTCAGAAATCCCTCCAAACTATTGATATCCCAAGCCCCTTCTTTAAAGTGCAGGCGTTGTACTTCCCATTTCCAGGACTCAAGTCCGGCTAACCGGATTTCCTTTTATTACATTTAACGTGTCACAATTTCCCTAAATCCCTTCACTAAATATTACCCTGCTCACTCTCCAACAGCTCATCAGGTCCCAAAAACTCCGATCTAACACACTCACACATGCTTGCTGGAAGTCGAGGCTCCTCGCCCACAAAACCTCCTTAACCCCCCTCCCTCCAACCTTTTTGAGGACGACCCCTACCCCCTCCTTCCTTTCCCTACAGATTTATACGCTCTCCAAGTCATTCTACTTTGATCCATTCTCTCTAAATCAGCAAACCACCTCAACAACCCCTCTTCAGCCCTCTGACTAATACTTCAGTAACTCCACACCACCTAATTTCCACACTCTGAATTCTCTGCATAATATTTACACCACCACATTGCCCTTAGACAGGACATCTCCACTGCCTCCAGCCACCTCCTCGCTGCAGCATTTACAACCCAAGCTTCACACCCATATAAGAGTGATGGTACCACTATACTTTCATACATTCCCTTCTTTGCTGAGGTATCTCCACAGATACCTCAGCACACCACTCATGGTTTTTCCTTCATCAATTCTATGGTTAACCTCATCCTTCATAAACCCATCTGCTGACAAGTCAACTCCCAAATATCTGAATCCTACATACCCTAACTTGAGCCTCCATATCCTCATAAAAACTCTTTACAGCATTTAGTAACTTACTACCTATTCCATACACTTGCAACATCTGTCACATTGCTCCTCTATCCACTGTATCATATGCCTTTTCTAAATCCATAAATGTTAGTGATTTTTTTTTTTTTTCGACAAGTCGGCCGTCTCCCACCGAGGCAGGGTGACCCAAAAAAGAAAGAAAATCCCCAAAAAGAAAATGCTTTCATCATCATTCAACACTTTCACCACACTCACACATAATCACTGTTTTTGCAGAGGTGCTCAGAATACAACAGCTTAGAAGCATATACGTATAAAGATACACAACATATCCCTCCAAACTGCCAATATCCCAAACTCCTCCTTTAAAGTGCAGGCATTGTACTTCCCATTTCCAGGACTCAAGTCCGACTATATGAAATTAACCGGTTTCCCTGAGTCCCTTCACTAAATATTACCCTGCTCACACTCCAACAGATCGTCAGGTCCCAAGTACCATTCGTCTCCATTCACTCCTATCTAACACGCTCACGCACGCTTGCTGGAAGTCCAAGCCCCTTGCCCACAAAACCTCCTTCAACCCCCTCTCTCCAACCCTTTCGAGGACAACCCCTAACTCGCCTTCCTTCCTCTATAGATTTATATGCTTTCCATGTTATTTACTTTGATCCATTCTCTCTAAATGACCAAACCACCTCAACAACCCCTCTTCTGCCCTCTGACTAATACTTTTATTAACTCCACACCTTTTCCTAATTTCCACACTCTGAATTTTCTGCATAATATTTACACCACACATTGCCCTTAGACAGGACATCTCCATATACTCTACTTTTCGTATAACACTTCAGCTTTGTAAAAGCCTTTCATAAGCTAACTTTTTCTCTTTTATCACACCCTTTACTTCATCATTCCACCAATCACTCCTCTTTCCACCTGCTCCACTCTCCTATAACCACAAACTTCTGCCCCACATTCTAATACTGCATTTTTAAAACTATTCCAACCCTCTTCAACCCTCCCACTACTCATCTTTGCACTAGCCCACCTTTCTGCCAACAGTCGCTTATATCTCCCCTGAACTTCCTCCTCCCTTAGTTTATACACTTTCACCTCCCTCTTACTTGTTGTTGCCACCTTCCTCTTTTCCCATCTACCTCTTACTCTAACTGTAGCTACAACTAAATAATGATCCGATATATCAGTTGCCCCTCTATTAACATGTACATCCTGGAGCCTACCCATCAACCTTTTATCCACCAATACATAATCTAACAAACTACTTTCATTACGTGCTACATCATACCTTGTATATTTATTTATCCTCTTTTTCATAAAATATGTATTACTTATTACCAAATCTCTTTCTACACATAGCTCAATTAAAGGCTCCCCATTTACATGTTAGTGATTTTGTCATGAATTATAGAAGACAGCTGCCTCTATTTTAATAGTATACTGAAAGTGTGATGGCTTAAGCTGAATAATAAGAGTTACCCAGTCCCTAGTGAGGTAACATTAGAACAGCTTGTTCCTTCATATAAACAACACCCTGCCAGTCACCACTATAGGAGACACACACGACCTGTATTTACTGTAAGATGTGTAGTATATCAATCATATTTATAAAACTAAAGAGAAAGAGTCTTAACACTGGTTCAGTGCTGCAAACATTGGTGGTTTGAGGAAAAGAGTCGCTAGTGGGTAAGAGA